GTCCAGGCGGGAAGAAATAAAAGCATGGATCACTGTTTCAAGGTGCTGCCTCGAAAGAAAAGATTTTACTCTTGCCAGTCGCCTTAAATGATAAAAACTGAATGACCATTTTCAATTCTCTACAACCTATAAAATCTTTGAAACTCTGTGTGTGTAATAATTTGGAAAAGTGCATTTTAAGTTTTTTATTTCTGAAAAAAATTATCAGTGTGAATACAGGTGAAAGTATGGCCATACAAGCACTGCTTTTATTACAGTGCTACTCCAACAGTAGTCACTGCAGTTGGTAAAACTGTGAGCGTTATAGTGATCATCAGTGACAAAATTATTAATTAACAGACCTGATAATAAGTATCCATAGTAGAAAATTTTATTAGCATTATTGGTAGAAGTGGTAACAAAGTTTTGTAATTAGTAGGAGTTTTTATTACTCTCTGGTACTGTGAAAAAAGTGAGCTACAGTAGCAGTCGTGGCTTGTTTGAAAGCTTTTTGTACCTTAACAGTTGAAGGCTGAGGCATGGAAACTCCCAGCAGCACCTGGGCCATCTTGTTGATGACCAGCTCTGTGATCAGCTGTTTATCCTCCTCCACATGCTCGCCAATCAGAGGCATTGAACTGTCCATCACCTGCAGAGACAGAAAACAAACAGACCTCAGCTGAAGTGTTACAATTCCCCCACTAGATGGCAGGATGTTACCTCTTATTCAGAATTCCTCTACTCTGACCCTCAAGTTATATTCGTGATAAGACTGTGTGTGGACACACGTGATGAGTCATTTAGTGTAGATCACATGTTTGTTGGGGTCAGAAACAAGCTTTACAGCCCTGTGGCAACCACAGTTTGGAGGATACAAAGAAGTGTGTGACGAAAACTGCGAGTTTCTGTCTTCTCAGGAGGTCTTTGGTGCTCTGGCAATAAATCACATAAACAGAAGTAAAAAAAGATGCTTTAGTTTATTCTCTATATGTGTGTTCATATAAGCTTTACAACAGTTTCATTTTGACGGCTCACAGGCTTCTTAGTTAAGCTCTGGATAAACTAAATAGGTTTATCTGAACACACACAAGAAGCCAAAGTTAGAATTTCCAGTGATCTGCAAAAAAAGCGACTCCATCTGTAAATATTATGTTGCTGGGGCATGACTTTGAAGGGCATAGACCAAACCCATTGCCACACAAATAATTTAAATAATCAAAAAAGAAAAAAAACAAACAAGGAAAAATGTTTTTTCCCAGCACTTGAGCTCACATGCAGGTCCATGTGTGCTGCAGAACCACAGGCCTCATGAGGCTCAGAGACCTGCTGTCCTCCTCCCTAAAAACCAAAACAAACAGGAGCAAAGGAGTGTTGCTGCTGCTGGCTAGGATGTAGATGCCCATCATGGTGGAAGAAGCTGCTGCACCGCACCCCAGCTGCAGGCTGTAAACACATCAGCAGGCATGCATGTGCGTGTGCGTGTGTGTGCTTATCCTCTGGTACACAGCATATGCCAGGCAGAGATTAGACTGTACTGGAGCTCTCTGTGGCTGAAGTTGTTTTTATTAGTGGTATCAGTTAAATCCCAAAAATGTTCTTTAGTCCAATTTTTAATTCAATTCAATTCAATT